TATGATCCAGAATTTCCGCTTCTGGGTATTTATCTGAAGGAAGTGAAATCACTATCTTGAAGAGCTATATGCACCCCCCATGTTCATTATAGCATTATTCACAGTAGCCAAGACATGCAACCAACCTAAGAGTCCGTCAGTGGATACATGAGTCAAGAGAATGTGGCATATGTACAGAATGTTATATTATTCAACCAGGAGAAGGAAAGAAATCCTGCCATTTGGGACAACATGGATGGACCTCGAAGGTGTTATGCTAAGTGAAATAAGTCAGACAGATAAAGACAAATTCTGTAAGATCTCACTTATATATTGAATCTAAAAAAATCCAATTCATTGAAACAGAGAACAGATTGGTGGTTGCCAGAGGTGTTGGGAGGGTGCAGGGTGGAGAAACTAGGTGAAGGGGAAAAAAAAGAAAAAGAAAGAAAGAAACTGTCTTAAAAGAGGAAGCATCATATTCTACATCAGAAGTTTTAGACTGCCTTAGAGCAGGATCGTAGCCCCATACTTTGCATTCTGCCAGCACTCAAATAGCTATTTTTTTCATGGATTAATTAACGAATATTTCATGAATTAATTAATTAGTTTCTATGAATTTGGAACGACTTAATAGCATATTAAAATACAAACAAAAAAGCTAGGATGATCTAAAGACTAGAAAGACACACTCTAAATTGCCAACAGTGTATGTTTTTGAATAGTTTTAGTGTGGATAGATTTTCTTTTATATTTTTTGTGATATTTTATCCTGTGTTAGTCAGCTATTCCACAATAATGCTGCTTATCAAACTATCCCCAAACCCAGTGGCTTACAAAGGCAAGAATTTATTCTCATACTATTAGTCTTGTGGGTTGGGTTTGGATCTGCTGCATGTGTCTCATTCTGATTCTAGGTGATTACGTGGGGGACCTGTTTTCACAATGGAGGGCAGGGGTGCAAGAGGCCAGCCAAATTGTACTAGCACATTGGAGGCCTCTGCTCACATCATACCCAAAAACATCCCATTGGCCAAAGGAAGTCAGAAGGCCAAGCCCACGTCAATGGGGCAGGAGGCATACACTACCCACAGTGGGAGGGGAGAAAGTATTTGCCAAACAATAATCCAACTATCACACAAACTATCATACTTCTTTGAAGACAACTGCATAAAATACTTTCATAATTGAAAATTTACTTATTAAAAATACTTTACATTTGTATTGCATTTTATAGTTATTAAAGCATCTTTGCATTATTCTCTCACATATTCTTTTTTTTTTAAGCTGAGCCATCCTGCCACCTGTTGGCAGCTCAGTGGCAGCTCAGCTCGGGCCAGGCATCGAACCGCTGTTGCTCAGAGCTCACACTCTTGAGCGAGCTCTTAACCAACTGAGCCACTCGGCCAGCCCTTCTTACATATTCTTTTCAATAGTCCAGTGACATGGTGGGGAAGGCAGCGTCCCCATTTTTAATGATGTGAAAATTCTGGCAGCGTTAGTTTCCTAGAAATTCTATAATAAATGACCACAAGCCTGGTGGTTTCAAATAGTTTATTCTCTCGGAGTTCTGGAATCCAGAAGTCTGAAACCAAGGTGCCAGCGGGAAGGTGATCTCCCTGAAGGCCCTCGGGGAGAAGCCTTCCTTGCCCCTTCCTAGCTTCTGGTGGCTGCCAGCATTCCTTGGTTTGCAGCTGTATCACTCTGATCTCTGCCTCCTTCATCACATGAACTTCTTTCTCCCTGTCTCTGTGTCTCTCCTCCTCTTCTAATACGGACACCAGTCATTAGATTTAGGGCCCACCCCAATTTAGTATGACCTCATCTTAACTTGAGTACATTTGCGAAGACCCTATTTCCAAATAGGTGAAAGGTGACATTCACAGGTTCTGGGTGGACACAAAGTTTTGGGAGACACTCGTCAACCCAGTGCACTTGCAGAGAGTATGGCATTTACACTCTTCCTTGACAATTCCTCCAGTGCTTGCCATCCTTCCTGCCAAACCCATGCCACGGGTCTTAGGCCAGCGCTTCTCAAACTCTACTGTGAACACACATCACGTGAGGGTTTTGTTAAACTGCAGTGTCTGATTCAGAAGGTCTGGGTGGGCCTTGGGGCTGGGACTAGGGTGAGGCAAGGAGGTGCCTAGAGATGCATTCCATGGCCCTTTTGGTGAGGGCCTTCTTAAACGTTGTGCCCTAGGTGCCTCACTTGCCTCACCCTAATCCTGGTCCTGTGAGATTCTGCATTTCTGACAAATGCTGCTGGTCCACGGACAACACTTTGAGTTCCAAGGCCTCAAACTGCGGTCTGTGTAGATTTAATGCTCAGTACCCAACTCTCAAAAGCAATGAGGGGGCTGTCCATGTTGAAGCTGGGTGTGTGGGTTTTGTAACTGCTAGAAACACTGGTTCTGCTTCATTTTAAGATAATTTTAGGTCCTATGGGCTGGCTTGGCTGCCAATATTGGTTCTTTGGGAAAATTTTAGGAAGTTAGGTGGCAGCACAGAGATCCAGGCCCCTTTGTCAGTGCCTCTTGAGACCTCCATCCCCAACCCTGCTCGGTTCCCGGGATACCCCCCTGACCTTGCAGCATCCCTGACCTTGCACAGTATTGCCTGCAGGTGTGTCCTTGCTGTGTCCTCACAGACATAATGCTCACAAGTGGGGTTTTCTTTACCAGTCCAAACCAGATACTAGGCCTAAACCAGCCACCCAGTTACCAACACGTGTGCCTATGTGTTGAGGCTTGGCCCCACCCAGGCTCTGTTGCAACCCCCAACTCTTTTCTCAAATATGTATACAATTTCTAAAAAAAAAAAAAATATTATGTTTGGGGCCACCCAGGCCTCTGAATCAAATCACACAGGCTTTGGGCTTTGAACCCTTTCCTCCCAGGAGACCTGGGCTCCTGTCGAATGGCTCCACCTCCTCCCCAGGACACACTTTTGTGTCTCAGGGATTTCAGGGAGTGGCTGAAGGCCTCACCTTTCAACTTTCACTGGCTAAAGAAGAGAAATCATATCCTGCTATGTTTTCAGACACTTGTCATTCAGAGGTCCCCTGAAGGGAAGTGGCTATAGGATTTTGCCTCTGTAACAATCGGAGAAACTGAGGCACACAGGGGGATTATGGGTCTTCAGAGTCACACAGCGAAGTCAGAGGAAGTAAATCTGCTTAGTCAAAAGAATCTTTTGTACAGTCATCAGTTGGGAGCATTCATGAGTTTAAAGAGACATCTCTAATTGCCACTCTGCTTATGTGTGTTTTAATTCAATGGGGCTCTTCTGAGGCAACTGAGTCTTGATGCATCCTGGGATATGTGGGCAAATGTGGAGAGACTCCCAGAGGCTTTTTCTAAATCATCGAATCTGGTGTCATTCAAAGTGGCTTCCATGGAATTCTGGGCTCAAGGGTGGCTTAATTGATTAGAATCCTTCATTCAGCAAGAAGGGTTCCTCTCTAAAGAAGTCTGAGAACCTATCATTCCAATGACAGCGGGAGTTCAGCGCCATATGGACGGATAATGGGAGCAGGCTGATGTTTTTTCTCTTTTGATAGCACTCAGTATTTCCACACAGCTTCAATGAGTTGAGAAAAGGGATGAAGAAACTTTAACACAAGGAAGGGCCAGGTGCTGACCTTCAGTTTTTCTACCCATGATTCCAGGGCTTGACAGCCCTTGGAAGTAGGAGGCATAAAGGGGAAAAAGGGGAGAAATAGCAAAGACGTATGCTCCCTCCCACTGCTGCCCTCCCTGAGAGATTCTGGGGGGAGGGGGGGTAGAGAGGGAAGAGGAGGAGGCAGGAAAATCATGTGTTTGTGTGGGAAAATAGTGACAATGAATAAGAGGTGTTAAATGTACTGAAGCAAAAGAGAGGTCTTACAATTAAAAAAAAACATTTTTAGTGATTTCAGAAAAAATATTGCAAGATGGCTTGGCTTCTAGTGCCTACAACTCAAAGATGAGTTTTCATACTTTTTTTTTTTTTTTTTTAGCTGAGCCATCCTGCCACCTTTTGGCAGCTCAGTGGCTGCTCAGCTCGGGCTGACTCGAACCGCTGTTGCTCAGAGCTCAAACTCTTGAGCGAGCTCTTAACCAACTGAGCCACTCAGCCGGCCCCCCAAAGATGAGTTTTCAAATGAAAGACTCATTTGTTTACTTTTTTGACCATGGGGCTGAAAAGGAAACTTTCCCAGAATCATAAATAACACCCTAGCTAGACAACTCATTTCTCTGGCTTCCAGACCTTTCTGATCCACCTGCACCTCCCACAGCTAACTTTGGGGTAGCCAATCCCATAACATCCCTCACCTTCTTCTGTCAGTGTGAGCAACATGGGAACACTGAACTCGGGCAAAGCCTCAACTGGGGCTGGTGCTGGGGCTGGGACTGGGGGCAGGCATCTCAAGGCTGAGCAGCGCTGGAAATGGAAGGATGGGGTTTCTGGTTTGAGTTTAGTGTCTTTGAAGTTACGACAAACCTTGCTTTGAATCCTGGTTCCATTGCTTACTAGTGGTATGACCTTGGACAAGTTACATTATTACCTTTCTGAGCCCGTTTTCTCCTTTGTGAAATGAGACGAAAAACCACTCCTGCCCCCTATAGACTGATGTGAGAACTGCATGAAGGGGTATCTATCAACTGTACAGCACCACCAGTATGGACCATCTATAGATCAGTAAATCAAAGAAATGCCCTTGACATTTGGCCATTAAATCAGAGAGCCTGTGATCTCTTCTGCCTCTGGATATTTCCTTGCTCTCTGGTGCTTTTTCCAAAAGGCAGACCTGGAACAAAGGAGCTCACAACATGTCAGGAAATCTGGTGACAGTCAATGAGAAAAGAATTGAAACCAACAGGTTTCTAAGTCAATCTCACTGGGGAGAAAGAGCTCAAATCTTGGAATTGTGAGGAAAAACACGTTAAACCTAAAAGTTCACTCCTTTTTCATAATTGAGAAAATATTCACTTTTTCAGAGACAGCAGACTAGAGAGTACAACTAGACCATACTCAAATCCATATAAACTATTTAATGAAAAAAGTCACACAAAAATAATAAAAACGCCAGATTTCCCAATCTAGTGTAGATAAGAAAGCAAATGGAGTTGAAAGGCACACATTAATTTAAAATTTCATCATAAGTAGTCAGATGACTTTTTGCACCCAAAGTAAAAAAAAAAAAAAAAGTCCTGAAGTTGCTCTTGGGAATAGCAGCATTTAAGGTGTTCTTGTCACACTAGTTTATTCCTTTGAGATGTGGCTGTGTAGTCATGGGATAAATGTTCCCTGAAAGTTTGGTTAAAACCAGTCAACTCCTTTGAGTGTTTTCATGGAAACATCAGACAACCCTGAAAAGCTAAGGAAGAGGGTTGTACTGAAAGTCTAGCTTTGGTAAATTATACAGAGTTGCACCTGGAAGCAGACAGGTGAAATGAGACATTGAGGGGCATTATTTTAATGTAGGGCCTGACATAATCTTAAAGACCTGACTAGGTTCTAAAATAATTGAGCACAGGACTCTACAGAAATGACCAACACCAAGTTTGACAAACACCAAGTTTAACACAGTACATTCAGCACTGGATTCTATATAAAACATTTAAAACTAAGTTCTTTATGACATGAACCATATTTTCCAAGTGCCCAAGCCATCTCTGAGCTTTAAAGTTAGGCCTCAGAAGCTCAGCTGGTATCCGGGGAGTCTTTATTAACATGCATCTCTCAGGAGAAGCTGAAAGAGGAATTTCCAGTGACAGCTTCTGGCTCAGAGCCCGGGGGTCCCTATCCAAGGCTGTCTCAATGTGACTCCAGGAATTCTGGAGATCTCTCTTCTCCAAAGGCTTTGTTAGGAAATAAATCAATAGCTAGCTGATGCTTCCTGGCATCTGAGCTCTGGCCAGGCCCCCTGAAGTTTGCATCCTAGAGAACTTCAAAATGGAAACAGAGTCTCTCTGCCTTATCCTGGTAACCCAAATCCTTTGTGTGACAGAACATTTAAAAGAAATAATAAAATGTTATCCGATGTTTCCCTCTACCCTTGGTATTGTTTTTTACCTTCTGAAAACCCATTCCCCACAATGCTGACAAACCAAAACAGAAAATGACAGCTGAGGCGGTGGTTAATGGGCCTATGCTTATGTCTTAAGGCAGGGAGAAAAGAAGTCTATGGTTGACTTTTGATTTACAAAAGTCAAAGCCTTGAAAGGGAAAGGCCAGGAGTCATATAAACAGGCACCAAATCCAGGAGAACACTGCAGAATGATAAGAGCAAGTCTTCTCTGCCCCAAGACCAGCAAAGGCCCCATCGACGGAAGCCAGTGGGGAAGCCATCAGCCCTTGAACATGGCAGTCTTTGGGAATGGGCCGGGCCTGTGTCCTGCCCTGCTCTTTCTGACCATTTGGGATGGGGACCTCATTGGAAGCTTGGATGTGTGTGTGTGTGGGGGGGCGGTTTTGATGAACAGAGAGAACTGAGCCTGTCTTTCTGAGCCCCGACCCTGAGTAGAAACAGTGGAGACATGGAGCTGAGTTGAGGAATGTACAAGTTCCCTGTACCTATGTCACCCATGTCATCAAGGCCTTAAAAGTGACTTAGGGATCCCCAGGAATGAAGTGGGACTTGTGGGTGGCAGCAGTAACCTTAGAGGACCAATGCGCAAGACCAGATGGGTCAGTGGTTACTTTGGCAGAAATCACTGTGGACTGATGACACTGAGAGCCACTGCTTTGACCCCTTGTCACTAAATGGTACCAGGTAATCCCACCTCTAGACCTTGACTTCCAGGGAAAAAGTGTATGTGTGGATGCCCTCTGCTATTTTCACAAGATGGAAGCCCAAAGCTCTTCTGTTAAGGAATGACCTACTTCTTTGTATCCCTGAGTTTGTGGAATAAGGTCTGTGCTCCCTACATGTACCTTTAAAGTTTCTGTTTTCTATGCTGACATGGCAATGGGGCAGATAAGCAGAGGGAAAACTTCTAGCCATACACTTGCAGGTTCTCCTTTCTCCCGCCCTGCCATTTTACAGAAAAGGCAACCGAGGCCTCTTCCGCTGCATAGGGCAAAGTAAGGAAAAGGGTGTGCAAGGCAGTGTGTTTGAAATGAGGTGAGGATCTGGGTGGCCAGTGGCAGTGTGTCAGGCTGGACTCCATGCACTGTGCAAACCACAGATCCCACTGTCCGGCAAAGACCACCTTTGGCTTGCCCTTGGTGTGTTTCAGTGAAGTCTGCTTCACTCCTGACCGCCAGTCAACTTGTGGAACAGGTCCTCATCAAGCGTTTCATTCTGGTCCTTGGAGCGGGTGGACAAGAAAATGTAGCCACCAATGTATTCATGCACGATCTTGCAATCTGCACTCAGGCAGGTGAACGCAATGGAGACGTTCTGGTCGAATTCTATCGCCACCTGGAAGAGAAGGCGCACGTAAGCTTCACTTCTGACCAGGAAAGATGAGCAAGAAGCTGCTATGCTGGAGACGGCCCCAGAAGTGAGGGCTGCTGAGGTGGCTGACAGATGGATTTCCCTAAAAAAAACCCCACAAAACCCCACCACATCCATTAAAGGCTTGCAGAAAACATGTCTTTGCTCTCTTTGCGCCCTCTTGTGGTGTCCACTTTCCTGCACACCTGGCAAAACATTCTCGCTCCCAACACACAGAGATATTACACTTTGGGTCTAGTTTAGATGTAGAACTTTTTAAGCACTCCCTGTGTCAAAGAGCAGCGTACTTTACAGACTTTTCAATGGAGAATAAAGACCCACCCTGAAATTTCCTCAGCCATTGCCCCTCACCCCTTGCCATCTGAAAGTGATAAGCTCTAAGCACTAGAAAAAAACGAGACATTATGGGTTCTCAACCTTAGCTGTCCATTGCAATCACCTGTGCACATTTAAAAATTACTAATGCCCAGCTACTGTCCTAGAAATTCGGCTTTAATTGGTCTTGGGAGCGGCCTGAGCAGTGGTATTTTAAAATTCCCCAGGTGATCGTATATGCAACAAGGGTTTAGAGCCACTCTGAGAGGTCATCTCATTTCAGACCTGCATTCCACCAATGGCTGCCCAGATGGCTAACAGCCCTGCTGACCAGAATCCATGGTTCTTAAAAAAGAATGAGTCTCTTATCATGCCTCTATGTTGATGGTTTTCTACTGGAAAAACGAGGAAACGAGGGAAGAGAATTTGTATACCAGCCACATCAGAATGTTTTCAATCAGCAGGGCACTAAGGTGCCTCTAACTTCACCTACAATTTCCCATGACGTAGTCTTGGCCTGGACTTAGTTCTCAGGGTGCAGATGACAGGCAGCTGAGAGTCTGAGGAATCCTCAGCTCAAGAGGCTAAGCTTTATTCAGTCATCCCAGTGCACTTCACTTGCTTTTCTAGCAGTTGTTTGCTCTGGGGACTGAAATGGTGTTCTCCAGGTGGGCAATGAAGCCTCTGGTCTTGAACCAGTGAGACCTTTCAGCAGCCAGTCAGATGAGGCCTTTTTTTTGGGTTGATTTATTTTGGGTGACAGCTACATCTGAGGTAGTTTCTGCAAAGTAATTATCAGCCTAAGCCTTATATAACCCTATGCTGAGTTAATGGAAATTAATTAAACCGCTCAGCGATTTTAAAGTCTGCATGGAAAGTCTGTATGGAGACTAAGCCAACCTGTGGGATTAATTCGAAAGCATTTTTGATCTGTACTTGTTAGGAAACTGCCCAGAATTACATGTGATTATTTTAGCAATTTGTGGTTTCTGAGTTCTAAATATAAGAACAGCTTTTTAAATCAGAATAATCCACAATTTTGAGGGAACACACATTGATAGGCTCCACACTGAATATACCCAAACTTTCACTTTACCTGCCGGATTTCCCAATTTACATTCCATTGTTTCATATTTGTGAATCTCCACGTTGTAATTGGAATTCCAGTGGCTGCATCGATTCTAATCAACCTATTATAGGAAACTCCCAGAATGTCATCTTTCTTGATTCCTTTAAATCTGAAAAAAAATTAATTAAAAGAAGCAACTGTTTCCTGTACTATGATGTTCATTCACATATAATTTTTTAAAGATAATATCAACATTTCTAAATCATTTCCCAAGAAAGGACAATGAGGGATTAACCTTCTACAGAAGGGCATTTTTATCATGATATAGAGAATATGAAGAATGAGAGAATTAAGGCTATCCTGAAGACATTTTTTAGGTGAAATTGACATTTGAGGAAAGTAAAATAAGAGGTGGGGAAGTCGGGGCCGGCTGAGTGGCTCAGTTGGTTAAGAGTTAGCTTAAGAGCGTGAGCTCTGAGCAACAAGGGTTTGAGTCCTGGCCCGAGCTGAGCTGCTGCTGAGTTGCCAACAGGTGGCAGGATGGCTCAGCTGGTAACAGCACGTCCTCCTAACAACAAGACTGCCTGTTCGATGGTGGGCTATGCCCACCCACAACTAAGACTGAACTCAGCACCTTGAGCTGAGCTGCCATCCGAATGGATCAGTGGATAGAGCATGCGCTCTTAACAACAAAGCTGCTGGTTCGACTCCCGCATGGGATGGTGGCTACGCCCACCTGCAACTAAGATTGGACACAGCACCTTGAGTTTAGAGGCCATGAGCTGCCGACGGGCAGCCAGATGGTGACTGGCATCCTCAACAACTGAGACTGAAGAACAACAACTTGGTTGGTCCCCTTCCCCAATTCCCTCCCCTCCCCCAATTCCCCAATTAAAAAAAAAAAAAAGAGGCGGGCAAGTCAATTCAAAAGCAGCAGCAACAGTGTACGCCAAGCACCCTTCTAGGCGTTGAGAATATAGTAGTGACATAAACGGATAGAAAATTCCTGACTTCATGGAGTTTATTCTATTGGGGGGAATCTGACATAAAAGGAGGGCGTAGATTTCATAAAAATCAGTACATGATTTCTCTTCCTGTTTTTGCAAATGTTATTCTAAAATAACCACATTTCCTTTTAAAATTTACTTTCCCACCGTTCGCTACCTGACAAGGTAATAGGTGAGGCCGAATTCAGGTAGAGACTGCCACGCCTGAATGAACCGCAGCTTGGCTTCCACCAGGGACATCTGGGCCACATTCTGGTGGGCTTCCAGAATCCGGGCTGCGAGCTAAACAGAAACAGGAGACATCAAACTCTTCTTAGCAATTATCCCATTAGCTCCAGATCCCCAATGAGAAAGAAAGGCAGGATCCAACTGCAGCTCTACAAACACAATTCATTCTCACTCATATTGTCTCCCTCTCCCTCCCTCAGACGTGCCAATCACTGAGGAGAAGCAGAAACAAGATCAGCCCACAGCTGATGGAGAGTTATGGGTCCCTGGGGTATGGGTTTCTGGGGTCTGTGGAGCGTCCACAGACAATGGGTCTGCATGACTCGGTTCATCGGTGTAACTTTTAACCTATGCTTATGGAAGCATAATTTAAAATTTTAATTTGTAGGGGCTGCATCATTTTATTCTTAATTAAATTACATGAGGGCATATTGTCATGTTCAGTTAGCAGTACGGTCACATCTATCATAATTAACAAAAATTTCTTAATATCTAATACCCAGCCCATAGTCAAATTTCCCTATCAACTGATTTTTCATGATCTTGGTCTCAATCACGTTAATTCCTTATTTGATTTCAGAAAATACAGAATGCAGTGCAAACAATTGCCCCAGCAAGATTAACAGTACCTGTTTAGACTTGTGTTTTTTTGCACAACGAGGTGACACAAAACATTCTGGGTTCATGTCTATGTTTTCGATGCTGGAGGCCACCGAAGAAGTCGAGTTCCTGTTTTTCATTCTTAGAAATGAGAGGATGTTGAGGACCTCTGGCTGGTAGGAGCTGTCTGCCATGGTTTTGCCCTTCGATGCCAAGATGCAGGCAGCCATCCACTGGGCATATTGATGTTCCTGCAGCAAACACCAGAGGGCTGAGAAGCAAGTTCAAGTGCAAAGCCCCCCTGCTAGGAACAGCAGGACTTGGGCTTTCATCTCTGTAACACAAAACTGTCACCTGCCAAGCATGGAAAGATGTAAAGTGGCACATGTTTTGAGTGGCTACAAATCACCTAATTTAACACCCAACAATAGTTTTTGAGTCCTGTGTTGAGTTTCTAGATGACAAAGGGCTAGAGAATAGGAATATCAACCTTAATAAATTCCATGAATTTAAAGATGAACCATGGACATGTGCCATGGAGCAAAGACAGGTGAAAACCCAAACTACCAGAGAGCCTTCTTTGATGCAGCTATTTCCATTTTCATATCCTGTCTGATCTCTATGACAGAAGAAAATGAGGGGAAAAAAATCACAAACTGATTTTGCATATTATTTCTACTCTGGCCTATTGTTAGTAAAGATTCTAATCCCACAGTAGGAATCAGGTCCATTGATGGGTCCTGAACCAGTCAGTGGTGGCTTCCGTTGTTCTTTAATGTCTGCTTGTTTTTTACCTTAGGTACTGAAAAGGAATGGTCCCAGAAGCTGAGGACATGCAACTGAGAAGTGGAATTCTTCAGAACAGTAAGTGCAATACACTGAATTACTGGCCTCAATCTTCACTCTCCTGGTAGCTATACCGAATGCCATGTCATTTTATAGTCCCTCCCACAAGAGCCAGAGTGTAATTTTCACTGCTTGACTTTGAGTCCAGCTGGACTCGCTATGGCCAATAGAATATGGGTAGAAATGACAGTGTACCGATTGCAAGCCTAAGTGGGAAGTAATCTCACATGTTTCTAGTTGCCCTCTTGCACTTCTATCACCATGAGAAACCCCCCCCCGCCCTTCCCTTCACCCCCAGGAGCCTGGGACCCAAATATATACAATGAGCTCAACCTGCCGCGAGGAGCCGAGCCTAGCCAGACCTATGGCTCGAAGCAGCTCTACCCAGCTGACACCAGCCTGGATCACTCACCCCCCAGCTTACCTGCAGATGTTTCCGAAACATGTGTGTTGGTATATGTCAGTGTGATTTATGTGGTTGGTTGTTACAAAGCAATAGCTGACTGATAGAACAGCGCTCTAAATTGAGAAAACACCTCAGTTGGTTTGTCCTTGGGCTTACTAAAGTTGATGTAACCGAACATTTTTGTGGTTTTACTTACATGGTCACATCTCAAATACACTTCATTCATACCATCAGCAACAGGAATTAGTAACTTGATTCCAAATTTTCTTCCAGCTACATGTACATCTGGCACGACTTCGCAGCCTGAATAATAAAAGGCAGGGATACAACTGAGTCCTGGAGAAACTATTATATAAATATCAGGTGTACATCTAAAATAAAGACGTTGAACATATACCCCCCAGATTTGGCTCTCTTCTAAAAAATGCAGGAGCAAGCAGATATCATTAATTGAAAGATAACTAACTAACTAAGACTTATGAACAATTAACATGGATAGAGAAAAATATTTTCTTTCATGAATTTCTTAAATATATCATCAACTGAATTCATTTTTAAGGTTGATGTGGCTATTGTAACCCACAGGAGCTATTGTGAATCTGAACTGTAAAATCAAAGCACAGGAAGTTCTGATTGCCACAATGATAAGGGAATTGAGTGTACTGGTTAATAAAATATTTCAACTAACAGAGTTACCAGTATACTCACAGTCACTTTCAGAAATTAGAATAGGCACGAAAGCGGTAATTAAAAGTAACTTCTGGAATTCAGAAAGCTTTTCAGGATCCTACAATGCCTTATGTACTACACTTATGATGCCAATTACCACCACTTCATGGACTTGGACACACTGGACAAGAAGAGACAGCCGAATGGAAATAACCACATTTACTAAACCATGTTCCAGGTCTACGCTCCATGGACAAGTGGAACTGCAGGCAGGGGCCATTCTGAACACAGTGACACTGGAAGTCAACCTTGCTTCAGCAGCTAGGGGTCTTGGCTTTCATTTGCTTGCTGGGTCATGACAAGCTGCAGCAAGACGTAAAACCCTCTTACCTCTAAGATTTAGTTTGTCTATTGGTTCTCCTTGTTCAAGTTCCTTATTTTTAAAGTAGGCTATCGATGTATCTTTAAAGACGAACCAATATTGTTTGAAAGCTTTTAATATTAGCTTCTTGGGCCTGCAAATTAAAGTACAGTAAGCATTTAAACCGTCATCCAGAAATGTAAGACGCCTTGCAAATTTTAAGCAGATCGAGACATGTTTCCAAACAACATATGCTTTATTTTAAAAAAAACAATTTGCAAATGGCCAACTCATTTCTAAAAACTAGAAATAAGGTCTTGCTATGAGATGTAGATGTTAATGCAAAAGCTCAGGAGTTAGACCAACTGGGGCCACCCTCTGGTTCTGCAACTGCCTAAACGTGTGACCCTGGGAGAGATATTTCAGCTGTCTGGATCATGTGTCCTCTCTCTGTGTGAAAGGGAGAGTAACAGCCTCCAACTCACAGGGCTTTTATGAGGATGGAAAGAAGACATCTATGTAAAGTGCTTATCACAGTACCTGGCACAACTGAAGTGCTCAATGAATTGTTAGTATGATATATGTGAGAAACACCCACGGATCTGGTGACATCTGAAACGTCCACATACTACTTAGATTTGAAAAAGCTGTCCATATGGACAGCACAATCTTCAAGTTATCAGACCTAAAAATCATATAGAAAAGTGAGCAACCTTTTCTATGGTTTCCTCTTGACCCTTCAGAGAAACCACCAGGGAATTCCCATGGAAATCACCCAAATCTACCGCTATTTTATATAGACTCTACTGTTATTAAAAATATTTTGTGGGAAGATCTCCGATAGTATTATCTGTTGGGGCCAGAAATTCAGATTCAGCAGGTCCAGGTTAGGGCCCAGGCATCTGCATTTTAAGTAAGCTCTCCTATGGTGGTTCCCCAGAGTTTGAGAGTGCTGATCTAGCTCAGTAATCTCCAAACTGAAACTGGGCACACCCCATCTTGAAAGTATTCTGAATATCTATCCTTTAACATATATACAGTTGTTCATTTGGAATATTTGTATACAGTCTTGGTTTGTGAGCATAACTCATTCCGGAAGCAAACTACTCGTATTGCAAGACATTGCTTGTTTACCATGTTAAAATGTACTAGAAATGTTTGCTCGTCTTGCGGAACACTCGCAAACCAAGTTACTCACAATTCAAGGTTTTACTGTATTTGTAACATATTGTAATATAGACATGATAGAACCTACACAAACATATAAATTAAAAATGAATATGGAAAGTTCCATTTGTTTTAAGAAAAGAGGTTATTCTCAGTTACATAAATTCCAATTGAGGAAGTATACTGTTGGCTGTGCTTACTAAATCAATAACATTCATATTCTAGTGCCATCTACCTGTTTGTTTTTGTTGAAACAAAGCTGCTAATTTCCATCTTCCCTGATGTCAGTTCCTCATGCATATTAACCAGAATATGTTGCATTTTTATATTTTTAATAAATGGGTTTAAAATACACTATAACTCTTAATTTGGATGGGATTTAACACAGAAAAATTCTGCTTCCAAATTTTAAAGGTGTGCAGATGATATTGTTTTAATAGGCATTATCATTACTGGCAACGCTGTGATAATGGAAACATTTCCAAATAACTATTTTCAAATTCTCTCTTTAAGTGTGTTCATTATCTTTAAAGCATCTAGAGGCTTACTACTCAGGGCCACCTGTCATCACAGAAAGGTCATAAATTTGGGATACTTATTTTTTGAAAAACAACAACTGTATTTCAGGTACTTTTCCATGTGATAATCAGTGAACCTTAATGTGGGACCAAATATTTTCATGGTCACTCTCCATCTCTTTAAAAGTGTTAAAATTCTACTATATTTTAAGTCTTATATCTATAAAATGAATCTCACTCATAATCTCCTTTAGCACATTGTGTACATGTGAATGGAACGTCTTTGCTACAGTAACTTTCCTATTTGCCTATAGGAACTTGGCCTATGATACAATGAATAAATTTTATGTGTAGCCTCTCTCTTCCTGTGTGGAGCCATTTTATTTATTTCAAAGTAGCCTCTCCAACAGTGGTTATTCCTTACAGTTTGGGGCTAAATCATTATTTTTATTAAATATGTAATTTACTAATAGGATTGGAGCATGCCTGGTATATATACAGGGATTTGCAAAAAGTAGGATCTTGAAAAATTGGTTAGGCATACAAGTCTAGATTTGACTGTTATCTTCTCTTAGCACATTCAAGACATTTCCCAGCCAATAAGAAGTCTGCTGCTCACCTAATTATTTTTCCTTCGTAGGAAATCTGTCCTTTCCCTCTGATTTTAAAGACTTTCTCTTATCAATGGTTGACTATATTAAGATGTACAACTAAACTGATTTATTTTGTTGGGATTTGTGATTCCTGAATTTAAGGATTTTTGTCTTCAATATTATATAAAATTATTAAGCACTCTCTTTTTTAAAAAAACCCCTATATTTTCTTCTGGAATGCCCAGTAGATGTATGTCGAACCTTCTCATTGTATTTATATCATACTTTTCATTTCTACCTGTCTGAGTTCTCTTTTCAAATGTTTTTAAACTTGATGTGTGATGCACCTATTCAATTTTAAATTTCTATGCCTATATTTTTCATCTCTAGAATTTCTATTTGGTTCCTTTTCAATATTGGCTCTTTCATTATAATTTTTACCTTTTAAATTATTTAATGATTCTAAACGTACTCATTTTATGGTTTCTTCCAGTTGTTCTATTACCTAAAATTACTGAAGCTGCTAATCCTCTTGTTGGTTGGGTCTGCTGTTTTTTGGTTTTTTTATTTTTATGGTGGTTTATTAACTCAAATGGTCAGTAATTTTTATTGGGAGATTTTTTTTTTTTAGGGGGTTATTGTTTCCTGTAGAGGCCCAGGCATGCTAGATTGTGGATATTTCCCTCCAAGGATTTTTGCAGTTTATTTGTTACGGCTTCATAGAGTTTGTCGTCTTTGACCAGTTTCCGTTTTATTTTTTCAGGATCCTTTTATTATATAAAACTTTAAATTTAGATCTACATCTGTATGTGGCAGAGACCTTGGCTCGGACTTATTGAGAGAGACTTTTCATTTTCCGCACAGACCCCCAATGCTAGGATAAACTTTCTTACTGCTTCCTCTGGCTGATGGGTAGTTTCCTACTCCCTGTTAAACAGAGAAGGCAGCCCTTACAAGTATCTACCTTTAGGCAGGGGCTTCAGTCCTGGCTCACAGCTTTACGTGAAGTACACCCACCTTAAAGCTTCGTTTTTGATCCCTGCACGGGGATAAAAATCCCAGCCCCAAGCCACGAGAATCGATGTCCATGGCCAATTCCCTCTGTGCAGCTGAGGCTTCATTTGCAGAACTAGGTTCCCTCTTTATTTCCTGCAAGTTGGGATTTCCCAGTCCACCTTCAAGATCAATTTTGTAGCTACAATTTTTTTTTTTTTTTTTTGCCAAGCAGTGGATTTATTAAAAGAAAGGAAATAGGACAGTACACTCTCAAGATGCTGTGAGAGTGGACAGGCCCAGAAGAGCAACTGGTCTGAAGAACAAAGAAGCTTAGGATTTTATCATCTTTTCTATAATTATTTTTATTTTATCCAGCATTCATATGTATGTATGGCAAGATTGAGATTTGCAGGAGATCAGATGCCAAGTTGTTGGAAACTAAAGTCCACTATTTATATAGTAGGTTCAATAGATTTTTTTTTTTTAAAATGCTTCACTGTTAAAGAAAAAAAACATTAAAAATCAAATGGTTAGGGCCGGCCGAGTGGCGCGTTGGTTAAGAACTGGTTTGGGATGCCAGAGGGCCCTGGTTCGGATCCCACATATGAGGGCCAGTGACACTGCCCTCCACAGCTAGGATGCTGAACAGCAGCTCAACCTGGAGCTGGGCTGTTGTGAGTCGCTGGCCACGGCATAGGCTGCAGCCTCTGCTGCAGTGGGTTGCCATGGGCTACTGTATGTAGCCAGCAGCCAGCGTGAGCGGCCAGCAGTCACAGTGAGCAGCCGTCCAGAAGCTGGCGACTGATCTGCCTCACCCGGGAAGAGTGCAATGATGGTGCCAACTTGGACCAGTGAAACAACGTCCTCCACAACTAGACTGAAGAACAAAACGACAGCAACTTGTCTGTTCCTCTTCCCCCAATTCCCCAGCACTGTTCCCATCCCCCCAATTCTCCAATAAAAATCTTAAAAAAAAAAAAATCAAATGGTTAGTTCAATGCTCTTCTACTGATAAAGAAAGGAGGCCCAGGGAAATAAGTGCCTGTTCAAAGTCACACACCCACTAGGAACAGGGCTCCACTCGCCAATATCGTCTTCCTCCCTTCCCTTCTGCTTTTTTCTTTGCTTCCTCCTTCCTTCTCTTTCTCCTTCACTTCTTTCTTCCATGAACTATATTATGTATTAAATTTAGTGTCTTGAGACCTTTGGTAAATAAAGTGTCCACTGGCCAAATATGAGGACGATTTTGTGAATCTGAACACATGGATCCCACTAAAGTGATATGGATGTGGGCTTAACTCCAGAATATCACCTCCTCCATCAAAAACATCCACAGGAAGGGAACTGTCACCATTTGGTTTGTGAAGAGTGGGATTTGCTCTATACAGAGAATATGGCCACCTAGTTTCTTTGTAGAACAATTATTAATAATTTATGAAGATGTATTTGTGGATTCAAGTTACTTTTTTTTTATAGCTCTGACTATAGCAATATATGAGGTTGCAACTATTTATGCCACAGAAGTTAAATGAATGACCCTATTGTTTGAGACCACATCCTAAGGTCACATTAAAAAAAAAACCTGTAGAAACCCAGTGACAAATATTGTTACCTTTGGACTCCTGTTTCTCATTTATACCTGACTAATTGTTCATTCTTCCAAGTCTTTCTTTGCATCCTGTGTTATCAAAAGCAACTTGTGTTTCTTTTCAAGCCACCTCATCTATTCAGCAAAGTGTTGGTTTGTTAAGTCAACACCATAAAGCGATAAGTAACTGATAGAACTTCAAAGGGACCTTATTGCTTTCATCCTAACACACCTGGGCACCATCACAAATGTGACAGTCTTTTTTTCCCATGAAATAAAAAACACTGCCTTTTTAACAGTTTCAGATTGACTTGAGGTGACTAGAGAGTTAATCAGAAATACTTTAATAGGCAAAGGTAGATAGTTATCTTTCTGTACACCCAGAATCCAAGTTCTAGTGACAATTGATTTTTAAACCATGAAAGAGCCTTGAAATTGTGTCTGAGCCCTGTGACTCCCAGGTGGACTGTAACAAACATTCCAGTCTGGCATACATGTTCATTCTTGCTGACATGGGCCCTGTTTACACCACCATTTATGAAACATGTACCATGAGCCAGGCACCATGCTCAATGCTTCATACGCATTATTTCATTTAATCCTCCCAACAAACCCAAGAGGAGGTAGATCCCCACTTTATAGATAGGAGACTGAGGCTCGAAAGTGTAAGAACAATGCCAGAGGTCACCCAGCTAGTATGTGTTGTGGACCAAGGATCGGACCCATGGTCTGTCTGATGTGAAACCTCGCGCTCTTACCTTTGAACCATGAACCTGCCCAAGGAATGTTTAATTTAAACTCCTGGACTCTACCTACAATGCTTTGTGCTAAGTAATCCCTTTTCCCTTTAAGGGTGACTTACCTAAATAATTTGAGATTATCTGCAAGTTTAGGTATATCAGTAATGTCCTCCTAAGGAAAAACAGATAACATTTCATAAGCAGTCATTAGACAGGTAGTGCTGATACTCTATACCTGTACTGTCCAAATACTGTAGCCACTTGCCACATATAGCTATTTAAATTTTAATTACAATTACATAAAATAAAAAACTCAGTTCCTCTCAGGGGTAGGGGGTAGGAGAAAGCTTGGGGAGGGGCTGGGACACATTTAGGGCTTCTATGGCGGCTGGCAAAGTTCTGTTTCTTGATTTCCATGGTGTCCTGGGTGATAAATTAACACTAATTTGTTCAGCTGTACATTTTTGCTTTCCCCCCTCACTTTTCTGTATGTGTCTTGTATCACACCAATGAGAAAAAGTGATTAAAAATTTGACCAAGCACTCCTTGTACCTACCCTTTAAGTTAAACATTTGGGTTAGAAAAAACTACTTTTATGTATGAACAAAATTATTTTACAACTTCAACATCAGAGCAACTCTAGATCCATCTAGTTCACTGATTAAACTCTCAGTGAAAGTTTAAAAGGAACCTGGTTCAAAGTTCATTCTGCAGGTTGGTGCTCATTTTCAAACTGAAAAGCCTGTTGTCTGACCTCACAAAACCTTGGCATAAAAATATTGCAGGAGGGAGGACGGGAATTGTCATCTGTTCTAAGAAAGTACACTGTCCTGTTGTATGTATTTAGCAATGGAAGTAGACAAAAAAGAACTCCAATTTCATGGCGGTTGTGCCTCCTATAAACGTGAGAAAGGGCTCCAAATCTCCATAGAATCTTGGCATTTGGTTTGCTTGAGTTATTTGCTTTCACATGATACCAATTTCCTATTTTAAGAAATTTAATCATAAGAGAACACATATTAAATACATATGAATATAGTGACTCATTTTTATCTATTACATTTTTTATCCAGTTACAATGGATCCACCTCTCTAATTCAGTGTGATTAAACTAATAATTACTCCCATGAGTAAGTTAAGTTAAACAAAAGAGTGGCACCCCAAAACAAGTCAAACAGGAGGGGCAGTCACATTTCATAAGGAGCAAGAGATGATAAACCAGTATTATTTCTTTATATTTTACTGACTGACGGGGGTGTGTGTGTGGGGAATGTTTGTTTATTTCCTCAAGTCAAAAGGGTTCAGGAGGGCCGGCCGAGTGGCACGTTGGTTAAGAGCTGGCTTGGGACGCCAGAGGGCCCCGGTTCGGATCCCACATATGAGGGCCAGTGACACTGCCCT